AAACAAAAAAAGTTTTAAGAAATATCAAATCAGTTCTCTTAGAGTTAGAAAAACAGTGTTAACAGAGTTACAGCGCTGGTGGAGTGGAGAGCAACGGATGTCATCTACTTGCACTTGTGCAAAGCATTTGGCACAGGCTGCCCAGAGAAGCTGTGGATGCCCCATCCCTGGAGGCGTTCAGGGCCAGGCTGGATGTGGTTTGGGCAGCCTGGGCTGGTGGGAGCTGTCCCTGCCCAGGGCAGCACAGTATGATCTTTAAGGTGCCTTCCAACCCAACCCTATGTGTCTATGATCTTCAACTATTCTGCAGCAGTACACACTGCCTGCAATCCCAGACCAAAACCTACGTCTACTGACTGCAGTATATGTACACTGAAGAGCCTCAGTGATGGCCAAGGAACTTACAGCTATTCCTAACAGACAAATGAAGTCAAATGCAGGAGGTTGGGGAAAGAAGAAAAAAGGTTTGAGAAGTGTTGAAAAAAATGCTCTTTATTTTAGTCTGAACATTTTAGGTTAACTTTTCCTACTTAAAAAGCCATAATTCTGTCCACCTTAATGTCTGGAACAAGTTATGTAATTCAGGTAGGTAAAAAATAAATGCAAGTAGATCTCTACCCGCTCTCCTCTAATGCTATCCACGTGTTTTTAAATTCTAGAGGTTTCTGAATGAAGAAAATTTGATTCTTTAAATGTTAAATATTAAAATCCCTGTTTTGGGTAGGGTGCTTTTTTTTTTTTTTGACTGCTAAGCCAGAAAACAGAGACAATATGCCACTGACCAACAGGAGGTAAGAGCACTCTGAAAATGTGAAGTGCCACCAAAGTGGCTAATTACTTAACAGAGGTAATAAGCAAAATGGTGGTGAAAGGGAAATGGAAGAAACTAACACTGCATGCAACAGTTCTTTCTTCTTCACTACAGGAGAATATTGATTAATTTTCTCTATCACATTATTTTTCATTAATTTATAGTGTTTTCATTAACTGTTTTTCCCGTTAATGAAAATAGGTGTTATTAAGTGGTATTATATGTTAATAATAATTAATTAAGTGGTATTATATACTCTGGTATAATACAAATGTTTTTAAAAATATTAAAATATTTTCATCACTTGAGAAACAAAATGAAAACTTACTTAATTTTTCCAGGTTCCCTTGCGTAATACATTGTTGAAAGAATGCGAGTGGATGGTTTTACGATTGTAATAACTGCCTCGTATCTGTAAGAAACACACAGTAATAGTCTTACTTTGAGTCAACAAATTAAAGTACTAAATATTTTCCAGATTTTAAAATTCACTTACTTTTTTTTCTTCTTCTTTATGTATTTATCTTGAGCAAATTCTGTTTTGTCTCGGAATGTTGTACTGTTCTCTATTAACTGTTGAACAATTTCCTTAGGAAAGACAATTTATATTTACTACGGCTGGTATGTATTTCTTATTCATTTCACATATAGTATTGTTCTAAACAAACACAGAAAATACTTTATTGCAGTGTAGGCATGTGTATCATTAAGTTCTACTGACATTAACGGCAGGGTAAAATTCTTCTAATCAACACAGCAAGGGAGGCACTGCCCTGACTACGTGCAGGAATCGAACCACACAGAACATTTAGGGACAGAAGTGTAACTACATGATGCTAGTGTAAAAGTGGCAAAAATGCAAATGCTGATCCTGAAAACAGGGCATACTGGGGGAAGGACTCTGCTGAGTGCCAGAACCAACTCTTGAGAGAGGGCAGCCTCGTATGGCCAGAAATGAAGCTCTGGCTTCCAGTTTTCCCCAAATTCCTGTTTTATTTTCCCAATCTCCTTGTTCTAATCTCCTCCCTTTGCCAATCTAATTCCTGTTCCTCACGCTTTCAGGTTCCAGCTGGAGTGAGCATTAAGACCTCCAAGAGAATAAAGTAAGATAAAATCTATCATTCTTTTGTCCACATGCCTGCGATACAAGAACAAAAGCTGCACGTGGACGTTGCACCTCCCATTACACCTTAAAAACTTGCTCCAAATAGATTGGTGCCAGTACTTCTCACTTGCTCTTTTTCAAGCCATCGTCTCTTAAAGTCCTTCAGGCATTTAGGATGGATTATTAATGGTGTGGATCAGCACATCATTCCTTCTTTGCCTTATTCTTGGAAGAGTTAAATGCAGTGTCTACTTATTTCCAGTAAAATTTAGTGAGGAAACTGGAGAATATTTGTGTAGGGCAAGCACAAGAAGCCAAAGGGAAGACGTGGCGCTCTGCAATACCCCAGGAATAACTACCAGTTGATGCCTGCAGCCTCACACTGTACACCTATCCCTCAGGACCTGGGAAGAATTTGGGAAGGTGATGGGCAATGAAACCCCCCTAACACTGAGGCTGCTTTAATTCAAACCACCTTGCAACTCAGCCTGCATCACAAACACATGCCATTCACAAACACAAATTCAAACGTGACCAGACATTCACAGTGCTAATATCACATGAAATGAATGTTCAGCTCCAGTTAATTACCAAAGCAGGCTATTTTAATAACCTTAATTAACAGTATGGCAGACGAATGGCACAGACATGCTGAGGACAAAGAGAAGAGTGATCTTTCGCCACAGATAATGAGAACTGACAGAAAATGTCCAAGCTATCAGACTGATTAGTCCATTCTTATCAAAGAGAGATTGCCAAGAGCAGCACAACCACGTAAACAGAGGAAATACCATTCTAGGCTCCCCGGACCCATCCATTATTAAGCAGGCAAAAGCAGAACAGCTGCTTCGAACAGCAGCAGCACGCAGCAAGATGCAAAGAGATGAACTTGATGTAAGCATGAGCAATTTCTTATCTTTACTAAGAAGGGTAAACCAAAGATGAGAGAGAATTTCGACTGATAACGTGTGCAGAACAGCACTCACTGCAGGGGTTTTTAACATGTTACAAGGCCTCACTTTTTGCCAGGTAAGTGTGGGGTAAAAACCAATGCCTTTTCTACTGGGACTGCTCTCTTGGGAATATTCTTAGCTTTTAAGGTGCAGATAAAAGACACGCGTCACTGGTAGGTAGCACCTAGAAGCACACTGTTAGCGTGCTTGTTACGCAGTGTTATTAGTTAAGGGTTCTGCGATCCTTCACTACACCTTTAGCAGTTTCATTATTGTGCAATTTGAACACGTCTGCAATACAGAAGTAACGTTTTGAGTCTTATGAAGAAACCAAATTAAAAGGTGATTACGTTTATTAGGTTTCCTTAATGATTAATACTCCTTTGATGTCTGTTATGACTTCTGATACAGCATGAAGTCATTCTTGCCTCTCTATCAACAAAGTTGCCAACCTTACATGAAGTTTTCTCTGAAAACAGCCCTCGCGTTTTTGTAAAAACAGATCTTTAGGGAAAACATGACTTGAGCAGAAGAACAAAGAAAAAGCACTGAAGTTTCTGCACCATTAAAAGAATAGCCTGTTCCGTAAACTAAAATATAACCATCAAGGTAGCACAGAAATGACACCAAAACCTTATTTTTACCTGTCCTTTAATACCCTTGTCCTTCAAAGCCTTTATGTCATCATGAGTCAGTTTTTGAGACTTTCCATCGTCAACTATGTTACGATTATCTGTACCTGCTTCTTTTGTGTCTAAAGGAAAAGGATATAGATTTGTAAAATCTAGCTCTAAATACTTTTAAGTCGGAGAAACAAATGATTTTAGTTTCACAGAAAGCAGACTCAGCATTAATCCCACATGCTTTGTGGTCTTGCAATGTATCGTGTAAGCAATCCATTAAATGTAATATGTAAAATACACCTCAGCATGTTTATATATATATATATTCACCCAAATCAAGGTTCCAATTTTCTCCCATATTAAAAAGTTGATTTGTTACAGGACTAGTGGAACAGCGGATCACGGCAAACCCATGCACTTGTGACACAGAATATAAGTAAGATATGTTAACAAACGATTAATAGAAAGCTTTTCCATCATCTTTGGTCTTATCGGAGAAAACATAATTAGTGCTCGTTCTTCCAAGCATCAACCAAGGCTCCGTAATACCTGTGGTAGTTTCTTCCACCTCTCGCCTTGGCTGCAGGTTTCCTCCACTCGTTACTTCAAACGTAGTCCCGTAAACATGTCCGATGGCATTGTCCAGGTAGAACCACTGCTTCTCGAAAATAATTTTCCTGAAACGATGAACGAGTTGATAACATTAAAAGGATCATTTTAACTACGTCCAAAAGACCGCGTGACAGGACCTCAAAACCCACAACAGAATAAGGAACTTCACACGTGCTGCTTTTACCTGGGTGCTCGGGGAAACCAGGACAAGCACAAGAAGATCAATGCCAAGATCAATGCTAACTATAAAGTTACATTACACTGATAATGGATGGAAAGGGAACAGAGAACTTAAACCAAATATTTTTCATAATTATATGTTTTCAGTTCAAGAGACGCCTGAAAATGACCAGTAAAGCCTAAGCGTATAGAACATAATTTACACAGCCTGATTTTGACGCGATGAAGCCTCAATGTGGTAAGAAATAAAATTAAAACATATAAAGTCTAAGGTGATACACACATAACCCTACAAACACACAAAGCTGGGTTACCCACGTTAGGGAAAAAAAAAGGGTTTTGTCAGCGATATTTACAGAAGCCGCTTTGATTTCTCTCCTGACGGGAATTTAAGCCTCGCCCAGCCCCCTTCAGGCCCCTCACCTCCTCCGCAGCACGGCCACCGCCTTGAAGACGTCCCCGCGCTTCAGCACGGCGCACTCCCCCTCACAGATGCGCGGCCCGGGCCCCTCCGCCATCACCGCCTCCTCCTCCTCCTCCTCCTCCCGCCCAGCTGCCCGCACCGGAAGCGCCCCTCCGAGCCGCCTTCCGCCGCGCCAGAGCGCATGCGCGCCGCCGCTTGCCCTCACGGCTCCATGGCAACGCGGCGCCGAGGGGGCGGGGCCGCCGCGCGCTCCGCGGGGATTGGCGGCACGGCCGGAAGTGGCGGTTGGGCGCCAAAGCGGGCGGGCTCCTGAGGGGAGCGGAGGCGGTGGGGGGTCGCTCCGTGAGGGCTGAGGGGGGCAGGCCGCGGGAGGGACCCCTCGGGGCTTGAAGGGTCCCCCCGGATCCTCCTGGGGTTCGGAGGGGAACCCGAAGACTTGGAAGGGGGACCCCAGGTCCTGCAAGTGGGACCCCAAGGCCTTGAGGGGGGCCCCAGGGCCTCAAACGGGGGTGGCAAGGGGTGGAGGGGGGACCTCAAGCCTTGAGCAGGTCCCTCAGGGCTTGGAAGGGGGCCTCCGGGGCTGGGAGGAGGATCCTCAATCTGACAAGGGGGACCCCAAGGCCTGGAGTGGGGACTTTCGAACCTTGAGCAGGTCCCTCTAGGCTTGGGGGGGGACTCAGAGGCTTGGAAGGGGGATCCCGGGACTGGGAGAGGGACCCCAAATCCTATAAGTGGGGTCTTAAGGCCTGGAGGGGGCCCCAAGGCCTCTAATGGTGGTCCCAAATCTTGAGTGGGTCCCTCAGGGCTTGGAAGGGGGACCCCAAATCCTATAAGTGAGGCCTTAAGGCCTGGAGGGGTCCCCAAGGCCTCTAACGGTGGCCCCAAATCTTGAGCAGGTCCCTCAGGGCTTGAGGGAGTCCTCCTGTGTCTTAGAGGGGGAGCCCGAGGCTTGGAGGATCTTCCCCCCCTCCCGAGTTCTTGCCCCCAGTAGCAATAATTTGTAAGTTTTCTGTCCATCGTCACTGCCCTGAGCTGATGCCCCTACAGAAAAATGAGTGCGGATGTCAGGGGAAGGGGGGCTGCCCGGGGGAGAGGCTTCCAGGGGTGGCGAGGTGGATGGAGAGGTGGGTGGAGAGGAGGATGGCGAGGAGGATGGCGAGGACGAGGAGGACAAGGAGGACAAAAGGCAGATTGGAAGAGAATGCCCCAACCTGGTGAGCTGGCTCTTCCCTGTCTTCTGGGCAACCTCTTGTGGCCCGCTTGTGTGCTGGGCAATGGCACTGCTTGCCTTCTGCTGCTTTAAAGTATCACTGACAATAAAATTTGCCAAGTTTTAGTGTCCACATTGCTCTAATCCCAATTTCCATCTCTTTCAGTAACATCTCGACTAGTTCAGTCAACATTGGACCAATTTATTCCATATAAGGGCTGGAAACTTTACTTTTCTGAAGGTATTTTTAGACCAAAATTACATACAGCAAATATCCTATTCCGTTTTCTCTGTAGTGGGTTATAAGTAGAGGGGATAAGTGGAAGAGAAAGCATTTGTGTCACGTTCATGTGACACAGGTTTCAGTCTTGTAGCACGCTGTAATCTCTGGACTTCAAACATTGGAAAGAAATCTTAAATAGTGTAAAATAGGATCTTTCTTAAATTGCTCAGTTAGGTACATTATAGCATGCGGTCTGTCAAAGGCTGGAATCTTTGTGTCTCTGTGGAGCTTTTCCTGCCCCTGTGTGCTTGACCTTGGTCATCCTACAGACAGCTCTCTTATAACACACCTTGTAACAAGACGTTACTGTGGGACTGTAGAGATCAGTCATCTTCCTCAGTTCTGGAACGCAGAAAAAGAAGGGAACAAAAATTGCTGTTTACTGTATTTTGTGAAATTGAAATAATTATTTCTGTCAATTATTACATAGTAGTGTTTCTGATTAGCTTATGCTGACAAGTCTCCTTTCGTCCTGAAGACTCAAGCCTTTGAAAAATTTTTCATGCAACGCATTGACCTTTATGATAAGGTAAAATATGTCTGTTTATATACATTGTTGATGCAGTGACGTTAGATAATTTTATTTTCTCTATCAAAGATAATCTACATCACAGATGTGAAACGTTTATGACATGATTTGGATGTATTGTGTTTATATTTTGAAGTGTATATGGTAATTTTAAATGTTTTGCAGGATGAAATAGAAAGAAAAGGAAGTATCCTTGTGGATTATAAGGACATGATAGAAGATAAAGAATTAACTAAATCAATACCAAATGTATCTGCTGAGTTACGGGATATGCCTCAGAAAACATTGCAGTGTATGGGTCTAGCAATTCACCAGGTAAATGTGAAGCTCTAATATGTGAGCACACCCCTCATAATGAAAAGAATCTGGGGGACTTTAAGGCAATTATGATATAAAAACAAATTTCTATATTTTCTATATTTTCTATATTTCTATATTTTTTTCTGTCTTACGGAAATCTTTTGTTCAATCAAAACTCAATAACTTCTATCGCTACACTATTTCTGTATGGTCTGCAAAATCCTGATCTGAAAATTCGTTGGTTTTAGTGTCTTTTGCTTAGTCATAGTCAAAGCAGTTGGCTAAAACTAAATGTAGTTCTAACAGATACGTCAGTGACTTCTAATTCCTGTTTTTATCAATGGGCTGTGAGTTACTTGTGCTAGTTATCTGACCTCACACAGAAGAGCCATGCCTGATGGGTGAGTGATGAGCGGGTGCAAGAATTCCTGGCTCTGTTCAGGGTCTCTTAAAGGAGCATTTCACTGCTTGTTGAAAGGCAAATTCTCAGGTGCTTTTGTCAGACAAAACTCCATGCATTGACCAAGATTGAAGACTATTGTAAACACTCACTTTATAATTCAAGAAATACAATCTTAAATTCTTTTTAAGATGAATCTTAGAGCTGTTCAGAAGCAGGGAAATGCTGTTTAGTGGGGGTTGCTGGACAGCAGAGAGCTCTTCAGACTTCAACGGGTCTGACAGTAACCGAACGGTAGCCAGTTGAACCTGTGTTGTAAGGAATATGAAGTTTGTGCTCTTCTGTCTAGGTGCTAACAAAGGACCTTGAAAGGCATGCTGCGGAGCTGCAGGTGCAGGAAGGATTGCCACTTGATGGAGAAGCTGTAATAAATGTGCCTCTCATTCATGCCAGGTAATAGACGTTGAGTGTTTTGTTTTCAGGAAGAGCCTTTTGCCTCTTCTGTAGTGATCATCAATGTCCATCCATGGTGCTGAAGGCTTATTTAATAGAGAGAGTTGCCCCTGTGAAGATATTTCCAGAACAGTCTACATTTTTACCTTTGCAATGACAGAAGCTAAGCTGTCCTGGGGAAGGCAAAAAGAAACCTGCTTATAAGCTGAAGACACAGTTTATACATAGAGAAGTAATTTACATGTAGAGCAACTATTCTGTGAAACACGTGTTCATTAAAAACAGCAGTACAGTTATATTTCTGCTGTTTACTAGAGAAATTAGGAAAGGATTCAAAAGAATCTAGCCTTTTGGTAAGTAAAAAAGGCTTGCCTTCAAAAAGGAGTTGATTTGGTGTGTACCTAAACTATAGTGAGCAATATTTATTACTCCCTGTATTTTGACAGTGGTAGAGGAAGATTTGTTCTTTCATTTTAGCTTACATCTATTAAAGGGTTGCTGATAGGAATCTTCCAGAATGTTTCTAATTATTTAACCTTTAACTTGAAATGAAGGAACTGAAATTACACTAATTTTTGAAAAAGCATATACATCCAAGAATCTTAATTGCTATTATCAGCGTGAAAATGTGATTTCTGTTGGTTTCCTAATAAAACACTTTCCTCTTCAGAAAATAGTCTCAGACCTCGGGATTCTGAGGGAGACTGGGGGTATTAGCTCTATTTGAGTTTGATTTATTTTTTTTCTGCTGGTTCCAGCACAGGTTTTAACACAGCAGGTCAAATTAATCGGGGAGTTTGACAGACTCTGATATATTCTTAAACTTTGTTGCTATAAAACTGCACCCTTTTAATTAGGTACTGAACTGTGTTTCGGAAAACCTGTAGATGAAAAAGGCATCTTTTGGAACACAGACATGAGTCTTTGATTCTTTTGTCACAAGTCTAAACCCTGCTCTTAACTGGGAATAATTCAAAGGCAGTTATACATGATTATTATTAAGTATTTTCTGTGATTTTGGTAGTCTTGGTTGTTTCCAGGTGTCACTATACAAACAAAATGTACAGCTGGCAGGGATTCTAAGTGCTGGTAAGGATTCAAATGCTAACTTCTGTGTAGGGTGTACAACTACGACCCTCTAACTCAGCTGAAAAACGTCCGGGCCAACTGCTATGGGAAGTACATCGCCTTGCGGGGTACTGTTGTGCGCGTCAGCAACATTAAACCTCTGTGCACAAAGCTCGCCTTCGTCTGTGGCACATGCGGAGATGTTCAGAGCGTTCCTCTGCCTGATGGAAAATACACGCTTCCAACGAAGGTAAGTTAGAATTGCCCGAGCTCATACTTCTCCCTCTTGCATTTCTGTGGGGATTTGAAAAACGGCAACACCAGTGGGCACTGAAGGATGAGAAAGGGTGGTGAAAGGGGAATTAGTTCTGATATTTAAAGCTAGCCTAAAAATGTGACACATTTAAAAAACAAAACCGGAAAAACTTACCATCCGGCTTTGAATTAGTGCATAACCTTGAAAAAAGTGTATACTACTGAAACAAAAACAGTTTGGAGAAACTCCCATGAATCAGGGGATCATACAAATTACCTGTGTTTGCTCTAACTGAGCCAAGGATCAGCTGTCTGTGCTTGATAGCTCTTTGTTAATTATGTGTTAGCCTGTAGCATTACTTTAATGATTTTTTTCCTTAAATTGTGATAATCGATATTGTTGTCTTGCTTTTTTTCTGAAAAATAAAAAGGCATTTTAAAACTGCTATTAAAAAAGCAACAACTAAGAATGAATTAGAATTAATTTTTTTACAGTGCCTTGTACCTGAGTGCCGTGGCCGGTCATTCACACCCGACAGAAGCTCTCCTTTAACCACAACAGTGGACTGGCAGTCTGTGAAGTAAGCATCTCTTCCCTCCTCTGTGTTAACACAGTAGTCAAAAAGCAACAGGATAGCTCATTTTATGTTACATTGTGTCATTTTAATCTCCTTACTCTTTTGCAGTAAGCACTCTTCAAAGATTGTTACAAAGCAGTTGTTTTATCACAGAAATAGTGTACTTTGTATATGAACCCTGAACAATGTAATAGTTTCTTGGGAATTCCTCCTAACATGAGTTCTTAGAGAAATATTAAGTTTGTGCTCTTTGTAGACTTTCTACAATATTTTTAGTTTATTTACATCATTTTATTTAGTTTATTACATCTAATATTTAATAATTCCTTTTAATGAACTGAAAGTCAGTTAGGAAAGCCCTGTTAAATTATTTGTCAGCTGTGACACTTGACTTGAATGAACTGAATGTTTCTTATAGTTTCCTTGGTTCTGCTGTACTGTGACCATGCTGCTCCTGTCCCATAATACACATTCGGGAGAGTTTGCTCTGTGTTTTGTTCATCCTGTTAGCTTACTGCAGGTAAGCACTAAGCTTACCTGAGCAGAAACAGAACTCTTACTACTTTCCTCTGGTTGTGTTCAGATTCTGTAAGTTCATGTGCTCGGTGTCAAGTCTTACTATGCCAAATGTCATCCAAGTGTATTTTTTGAAGAACTTTACGTAATAAGTGATTTAGAACTCATTAAAAACAGTACTGACATTCTTGTGAGTAGCTGTAGAGGGTGCTGTTCATCACAGCTTAAGAGAAGCTTTATGCTAAGCTTCTAGGAAAATTTTCAGGACTCTATGTGCAGAGTCAAAATCTGAACCTTTTAAAGAACTTGTTAGCTGCTGGCCTTTTGCAACTACACAGAGCGCACTGCTGTTCTTGCTGTGGTCTGAGGAACTTCGTGGCATTTTCTAGGGTTAAAATGCCAATTAAGCATTCACTGGAGCTATCATGTCTGACCTCCTAACTTTGTAAATAAAGTCCATCTTATTTCACGTACCGTACATATTTCTACATGAACACACCAGTGCTAGAAAATCTGAAGTCCACATCAATTATTATTTCAGGAGTAGGTTGTTACTGTCTTTTGAGTTTTTAGTATGTTATATGCCCGTTTGCTTAAGTCTGAGTTGAAAAAGCCTGTTTCTCAAGTTCAGCACCACTGTTTCTAGTGTTGATCAGGACATTTCTGGTGCCCCCCTTCTCAGTGTATGCCATTCTCTCTATGCCAGAATCTGTAACACGTGGTGTTACCACATAACGTAACACATGGAATGAGCGCTTACCACGTGTGTTGCAGGGTACAGGAGCTCATGTCAGATGATCAGCGAGAAGCAGGCCGAATCCCTCGCACAATCGAATGTGAACTGGTTCAAGATCTGGTGGACAGCTGCGTGCCAGGAGATGTGGTCACAATTACAGGGATAGTTAAGGTGTCGAGCACTGAGGAAGGTAAAAGACACATCTTGGAATACTTTTTTGTGGTTTTTATTTTTTTTTTCTAGTGATTTCCCAACAGGATGAACAGCTGTCCTCTTTCATTTGAGCTCTCAAAGTTGTAAAAGCATTAAGTGTATTTAAGAAGTTCCCAAAGTTTCGTACCAAGGTGTCATTTTGAAAAGGCAATCTGCCTCACTGCTCAAGGGGAGTGCTGTCTCAAATGTCCACTGATAGAGGGAGTTTGTCTTTTGCAACCCACTGGTCTATATTTAACTGTAGTCTTCAAGTTCCAGTCCTGACATGTGGTGTTTTATGGTGAGTCAGCTGATAGTGAAGCCTTCTCTGAACTGCTCACATGGCAAGGGGGGCATCCTTATTTCCTGAAGTCTCATCTAGGCTCATCATTTGTTTAATCTTTTTGCTTCAATGCCTCCTTCACGTTACAGAAAAGCCATCATACAACTGTGAAGGCATATTACCTTTTTCAGTATAGATATCCCTAGAGAAATCTTAGAATTGTTGTTTTCCCCAAAAAAGAAGAAGCATGTTGTGCATAGCTGTAATAGAATGAACATACTGCAGGGAACTGCAGTTGGGATTTACTGTGAGCCTGCATTCACTGCTCAGTTATCATTCTCTAGAGGATACAGAAAACCTTTAATTATTAAGGTATACATGTATGTTCAATTGTCCTGCACTCTGTAAATATTTTTTTTCTGTAAATACTGAGTGGGAAAATCTTGTGTACGATCTTTTACTTGCCTAGAGTAATATAATTTAAAATTCCTGGAAGACTTCTCTTATGTTGGGAGAAAATGCATAAACACACAGCATTTCCCCTCAAATCCAGTAAAATGTGTTATAGACCTAAATGCAAGGAACTTAAAGAACAAACGTAGTTAGAAGCTTTTACTCACTTTGCATCAATTTTTGTAAAAAAGCAGGTGTCCAACTACTTAAATATGCAAAACAGAGGCTGTAGATATGTCTGCTAAATATTTCTGAATTGCCCTGTGCCGTTTGTAAATAACATCAGTATTGAAAATGCAAAACTTCTTCCTCAATGTCTATCAATCTTTCTAACAGCTTCTAAAAATAAGAACGACAAGTGTGTGTTCCTGCTGTACATTGAGGCGAATTCTGTCAGCAACAGTAAAGGACAAAAAATAAAGAACTTTGATGATGAGACTTTTCAGAGATCATTCATGGAGTTTTCGCTTAAGGACCTCTATGCTGTTCAAGAAATCCAAGCTGAGGAAAATCTCTTCAGGCTCATTGTGAAGTAGGTTGTGTGGCAGTGATTACTGGGTGTGAAAGACCCTCAGTTCAGATGGAGAAGTGCTTCTCTAGCTGGGCTGTCCCTCAGGTCCTGCCAGTGGAATCAAAGAACACAAAACTGCAGAATCTTTAGAAGGAGGCTTGTAGGTAGTTATTTGATAAAAATCACAACAGTGCAGTGACCACTAGGAAAACAGTCCTTTGCAGTTGTGCAAACTCAAAAAGACTTTTCATGTTGCTTCAAGTATATCTGGTTATCTAAAATTTTTGAGAAATATGGTACTGTTTTTACATTTAAACTACATCAACAGCTAAGCAAAAATGTTGTACTTAGAAAAGTGTTCTGGGACGAGAGAGAGAACAAGTGATTATTTAGTAGTACCGTGAGATCTCTGTTCTGTATGTCACATGTATGCTTTGTTTTTCAGCTCCCTTTGTCCTGCCATCTATGGCCATGAGGTAAGCAGTTTGCCAGCTCTGCTTTGCAACTTCAGACTGAAGTGTTTATGCCACAGTAAACTTCTACAGGATTTGTAAAGTTTCTCGGGGGTGGAGGGAAGGGGCAGGGGCTGTATTTATGGGTGACTCTTCAGTGTTGTTCCAGTGCGTGAACTAACAGGGAAGTGGCAGCCTTATACCTTTGCAACTTTCTTGTGGGATTTAAGCTCAGCCATCCAGAAGAGAGGGGTTACTACAAGCAGTTCTGGGGAGCTGTCAGTACTGATTACAATGACCGAATACTGACTATGTTGGTGTGTACTCCTACAGATTGTAAAGGCAGGCTTGGCCCTGGCAGTTGTTTGGAGGATGTCAGAAGTTTGTTGATGACAAGAACAGAATCCCGGTTCGAGGAGATCCACATGTTCTGGTCGTTGGAGATCCAGGATTAGGAAAAAGTCAAATGTTGCAAGTACGAGTTGATTTCTTACTACTGTATGATTGTATTCTTCAGTAATTACTTGCTACCTTCTTCTGAGCGTTGTAGGGTAGCTGCACAAAGACCAAAAGGTTTCTTCGCAGGGCTGGAGATGTGTCTTCAAACAGCATGCCTCTGGTGTAGTGTATAGCACCCAAATGGCTTTTCTGCAGTCCATTCTTTCCAGAGAGCCGTGCAGAAGAGAACCAGCCCATTAAAACATTTTCAAAGCAGAGATACTCAGTCAAGCCTGTGGACTTTAAAGTACTTCGTGTTGTTGCTGTCCTGCCCTTGCTAGCTCCTTTCACCAACTTCTCTTCTTGATGAGGTGTCTCACTTTATTCATGTAGCTATCCCACTGTCATATAAAACAAGGGCATTTTTAGAACCACCATGCTGTTCACCTCCCGTGAGGCTTATTTCCCTCCTCTTATCCTATTTCTGTGTGGCTGGCCCAGATCTCTGCTCTTCAGGGAAGGAACCTGTTCCTATGCTTGCATCTCAGTCCTGGTGGGCATTTTTTTTGCATGACTGCAAAGCCAGTTAACAGCAGAATGTATCTTAAACGGAATGGTTTTAAAGTTCCATGTCTTTTCCTGTGGTTACTGTGAAGCAAAAGGGGGGGCAGAATTTTCCTAGACTTGCAGTATTCTCTACTTCATTAAAGAGACTCAGATTTTTTTAAACATGAATGTGTCATGTTAAGATGTGCCTTGATATAATTTAACCAAAGTGACAGATGTATGTGCAAGCATCCTGATAAATGATTTTTTTCACTAAATTGGGAATATCTGGTACATAATAAATGATTTTGGCTTTTTTCCCCCACATAATACTAAGTAATGCCATTAGCGTATTCCTCAGATAAGACCCTGAGACAAACCTCCTTTCTATCATCACTGCCACAGAAAAAAAAATCACAAGGACAAGAACAGAGCTGTGTAGGAACCAGTTTGTGGTGGGTTTTGCTGGTTTTGTTCTTGTCTTCTGTTTGTTTTTTAATTCAATTGTCAGTGCCTGTCACTTACCTGGTACTGAGCAAATATGCTTTGGGTGTTATCTTTTGAATAGAACAAGCACCAGTAACTGAATTTTTCCAGTAAATCTCTAATGATAACTGTTTTCTAAACAAACTTAACTGCAACATGCGTGTCTTTTGCCAGTCCTTTCAAAGCCCAAGCTGTTTTCTGGATACTAGGGGCATGGCAGAGATGAGGCCTCTCCTTCATCCCGTAGTTGTGGAAGAAATGATACTTTCAACCAGCAACACAACCAGCTTGTGTTAGCCAGCCAGATAAGCTGTTAGCCTAAATAAGCCCTGGGGCCTGAAAATACAGAAACTGTGTATCTGCAATTCTGTGATGGATTGGATGTTCCCAAGCATTTCCACACACGTTGGGTGCAGGTGTTGAGCCCCAAGTCCAAGTAGTTTTGATAACACAGTAGGTGTGGCTAAGTACAAATATTGAGACAAAAACTGTGTAGAAACATGTCTTTTGGGTTGCAAGGAGTTACAGCTTTACTGTTGGGCTATGTTAAATGGAAAGAAAGAGATTTGGTTTTGCTTTGTACTGTTTCTCTAGAGTAAGGCTTATGAGAAAAAAAGTGTTTTTTCTTAATTCCAGGCAGTGTGTAACGTTGCTCCTCGAGGTGTGTATGTTTGCGGTAATACTTCCACCAGCTCTGGCCTGACTGTTACACTGTCTAGAGATGGTGCTTCGGGAGATTTTGCCTTGGAAGCTGGTGCTTTAGTGCTTGGAGATCAAGGTAATGTTTGTAATGCCATAGGTTTCGTATGAACAAACATGGTGGTGGGAGGTGCTGCTGGGTCAGAAGTTGTTAACTACAGTGCTTGCATAATTGGGGATTAAAGATGTAAATCTGAAGTACGGTAGTGGCTTTCCCAATCTGGGAAGTTCTGAGCTTCTCCAGTGACTTCTCCAGAAGTGGTTCCTGCTTTCTTAGGGCTTAGGATATGTATAAAACTTCAGTTCTGCAATCTGCATACCAGTGTTATTTCATGTGGTGAAGAACTAGGATTTCCTTCGTGAGAAATCTCTGACTTAAGGGCAGCTACTGGAGTCTTACTGTTTTTGAAAAATGGCTTGCTTATGAGGTTGGCCATTTATTTCTGCTTTTACAAACAGCTTGTTTTGGCATCTTAATAAGTAGCCAAGACACTGCCTCTGCAAGCCAAGCCAGCTTTGTAATGATTCAGCTGCAGCAGCTTGGAATGGAAACAGACCTTGCTGAAATGGAGGCTTGGTCCAAGATCTGCAGTACCCAGACTCTGAGTGGAGTTCTGATGTTGCACTGGAATGTGGCATACACTTGTCCCTTAGTTAATGTGTTCCCTAATAAGCCTTTGTCCTGTTTTGTTTCCAGGTATTTGTGGAATAGATGAATTTGATAAGATGGGAAGCCAACACCAGGCTCTGCTGGAAGCCATGGAACAGCAAAGTATCAGCCTTGCCAAAGCTGGCATTGTTTGCAGCTTGCCAGCCAGGACATCTATCATTGCTGCAGCAAACCCTGTTGGAGGGCATTATAACAAAGCTAAAACGGTGTCTGAGAACTTAAAGTGAGCACTTTCTGAAATGCTGCTTATATGATCCAAATTCGGGAGCAGGTGCTTCAGGCAGTCTTGCAGTTGGGTTTAATTGACTTCTAGTTTCCTTGAGCTTGAACACAAGCTTGTTGTAATAAGTTTTCATGTTGTTTTAGGAGAGAAATTGCTGTTTTGCTTTGTCCTGAATGAAAAGGACACAATTCTCTAAACATTTTTGAAGCAGAGCAGGGTTGCTGTTGTTTTTCTACATTAATACAAGGATTGTGTGGTGTTTTCTTGTCTTTACTCTAGAATGGGGAGTGCTTTGCTGTCAAGATTTGATTTGGTTTTCATTTTGCTGGACACCCCAAATGAAGATCATGATCACTTGCTGTCCGAGCACGTGATGGCTATCCGAGCTGGAAAGCAGGCAGCGTGCAGCAGCGCCGTTGTGAGTCGTGCCAGCCTGCAGGATCGCTCTGTTCTTGAAGTTGTTTCTGATCGGCCACTGCTTGAAAGGCTCAAGGTAGGACTTGTCCTGTGACCGTTGCAGTGCCTGTTTCTGTGGTGCTCCTTGCAGTGGGACCTGGCAACCTCAATCTGCTAGACGTCTTCCGTCTCCTACTCCCATTCTTCTCATCACGACTGGCTCTGAATTCAAGAAGTATTAAGACCCAGCCACCAGTTTCTGCAAATAGCTATTTATTTATTGTAGCTGCCATTATCCACCATGCTGGAGTTGCTAAAATTGTGCCAATTCATATGGAAAGAGTTTAACAGCTGAGTTGCTTTTTTCCTTCTGTTTGTTCTTATTTGGGGTAGAGGGAAAGTATTTTGTGTGAAATCGAATTTACTGTATTAGATTTCAGTAAGGAGCTACAGAACTAGATTGGGTGTAATAATTTTACATTACATGCTGTGAAATACTGAATCTCAGTAAAGCAGTGTAAGTGCTTGGACAAGTACTTGGACATCTGCAGACTGAGATAGATTGAGGAATTTGAGAAGGAACTGATATTTTGTTACTAAATTTCAGTGGTTAGTTTCAGGGCTGATATTGCTAAATGCCAGGTCTCCGAGAAATAGACCCCTCTGGGAGCTAAACCCTTGCGCTCTGGGAAATGTGAAGGCTTATACTTCTATAGAGGTGTATACTGCAACAATTGGGAAATTGTATTTTCCCTTTCTGAGAGAATTCTTGACATAGCTAGGTGACCTTTGACACTAACAAGTGGAAATTAATAGCTGCTGCTCCTTGTTCTGAAATGGCATTGTCTTAACACGGTGTAGGGACTTTAAAAGAACACAGCTCACATGTGGCACCATGTTCAGAGCTTCATGAAGATTTCATCAGATAAAGCCTAGATGATGAAATTTTTATGTTAAAACTTGTATGTTATAGGATTCTGACAGAAAATCCGAAAAGTCTAAGACTTCTGTTTGTAATTGGGTTAGATTTCACCAGGAGAAAACTTCGATGCCATTCCACATCAGCTGCTGAGGAAGTACGTCGGATATGCTCGGCAGTACGTTCACCCAAAGCTATCTCCAGAAGCTGCTCAGGTCCTCCAGGAATTCTACCTTGAGCTTCGGAAGCAGAACCAAGGAGCAGACAGCACGCCGATCACCACGAGGCAGCTGGAGTCACTGATTCGACTTACCGAGGTAAATTCAAGCTGCGGTACTTAAGGGTTGAAAGCAAAAAGATTATTCCTAAACTGATACTAATATCCCATATTTTCTCACAGCTTTTTTTTAAGATATAAGATACTTACAAATGCTTAAGAGCTACTGTTGTTTAAAGCCTCTTAAGAGGTAAAGCACCCTTAAGGGGGTAGAAATAAAACCTGTCATGCTCCTCTAAAAGGAGAGCAAGTAGGTGCAGGCAAGGACAAGCTGCTGCCCATCTTGAACTCAGAGTGTTCCTGCTTTCCATAACACCATGCCGTAATAACATTATTTGTGTTATTGTGCTGCTTCTCAGGAATGCACTATTAAAAAGCAAATAAACTCTAACCTGGTGATAATGTGTGTTTGAAGGACGTGACATTGAAATGCTGTAAAAAGTAGAGGGCTTGTCATCGGAGCCTGAGCCCACAGGATTCAATCTCTGTGCTCCTAAATCTTGTGCTTGTTGTATCATTGTGTGCATGGGGCAGGGTTGTAGCCTTTCCTCACATCAGGTATAGTACCTTAAATATACCTTTCTGTGTTGTTTTTGTTTTAAGGCACGATCAAGGCTGGAATTAAGGGAGAAATGTACAAAGGAAGATGCTGAGGATGTAATAGAAATAATGAAATACAGGTAATACACGGTGCTTTAAAAATAAAGCATCTTGGTGTTATTCAAAGACTTTTTATTTTATTTTATTTTTTTTAACACTGACAGGCAAACAGAGTGAAGAAAAGACTTTACTGAGTTTAGGCCCTTGGTACTAACATTCAGAGTTGTTAACACTTGTTTAAAAATCAACAGCAGCCCAAAGTTGAATACTGTCATTTCAACTTCTGAGCTGTGTCACCAAAGCAGTCAGGAATATCAGTGCACAGTAATTTAGAGATGAGGTGCTGCCAGAAATTTTTGTCTCCTGTGCTCACTGCCTATTGTTGCTGTTGAACAACTTAAGTTTAAAAGTGATTTGGGCAGATGCTTAATCTACGTTCCCTAGACAGGAAGTCATCCCCTAGGAATAAAAGCATCTCAAGCAGTTACGTTTCAGGAAGGAACTTCATGCATTTTTACTCTTACTTCCCATTCATATGTTTGTTTTAGCATGCTGGGAACCTACTCGGATGAGTTTGGGAAACTGGACTTTGAACGTTCCCAGCACGGGTCTGGGATGAGCAATCGGTCCCAAGCAAAGAGATTTATTTCTGCCCTCAACAGCATTGCGGAAAGAACTTACAACAACCTCTTTGAATTGCAACAGCTTCGGCAGATTGCTAAGGAGCTACAGATACGAGTAAGTATGGAAATCAAGCATCTCTTCAAAAAGAGCAGCCAAAATTATTTGTGTATTTATTTGTTTAGGCTGTTGTGGTGTCTGTTCTATTTGTGAGCAGTGAGGTTTCTGCTTGGCCTTCACTGGCCCTGATGTGCCCTTTGGGTTTTTGGTTCTGCTTCAAGCATCCGAATGCTGTAACTTGGTAGGAATATCATGTAGGACGTGTGGCCACAGATGTATTTTATCCTGTAACAGGTTTATATGCTGTACTTGTGAGGGAGGCTTCAGCCAAACAAAAATATTGATAGTTAATTCTACTTCTTGTTTCATGGTCAAAAGCTTTAAATGCCAATGTAGAAGTTTTGAAATTGGAGTGTTAAAGTGAAAAGTAGTGACCAGGAATTTCTTTGTATGGAACTTTTTGTGGCCAGTAATGCTGTTCTTCTCTTACGTGGTCGACCTACCCTGGTCTGCTGGGGAAGATGACTTCAGTTCCAAACTTGTCCACATGTGGGCTGTACATAGGAGATTTGGTGTGATCCCTGTCTGACTGAATGTTACTGCCCTCAGGATGCGTTATTGCCCACTCCTCTCAAATGAACATTCATTTAGCAACTAGTTACATGTAGTTAATTGAATTAATTCTAATTTTGCCTTCCTACAATATTTTTTTGCCCATTCAATGTTCTAGATATAGAATAAATACTTCAAAATCAATGAGAACTGTAGAAATTGTACTTGTATTTTCCGTTTGTTTCAGAACTTGGATAAATACATACATTACTCTGCATAGTTCACTAAGTAATGTGTAAATACTGCAATTCTTTTAAATTGTTGATGTTGCTTTGTACCAGATAAAATGTAATACTTTCAGCCTGATATTTCTTTGTCTTTTTTCGCCAGGTATTTGATTTTGAAAGTTTTATTCAATCCCTAAATGATCAGGGTTATCTTTTGAAAAAAGGCTTGAGAGTTTATCAGCTTCAGACTATGTGAAGAGACACACAGTGTGTCTCTGAACTTTGAGACACAACTAAAATATCTGGAACGGGCTGATGGACACAGCAATAAAACATCCTGAATTGCAGCCTACCGGAGAAGCTGATGAACCGTTGCTTACTTCAGGTGCAAGATTCTTGTTTGGGAACTGGTAACGCCAGCAGGCTTGGCTGAAGCTGTCGTGGGATGAACTGTGGTGTGATACTGCTGCCGGACTCACCCTGTAGGTGTAGCTCTGCTAGCCCAGATGATCGCAGTAACAAATGTTGCTTCTAAACTTAGTGATGTTCTACCCACACGTTTTAAAAAAGCAATCTTTCATGAGGAAACAATGTCAGTTGTGTTTTTAGCACTGTAGGTCATCTGAGGAATTTCATATGTAGAAAAGTTTCCCAAAATTTGGGAACCATCATGTTGAGCCAGTGCAGCTTTATAGCAGTAAAAGGTGATACCTTATTGAAACTGATTTGGTTTTTTTCTGATTTGTAAGTCTGTATTTATTGGTCTTCGAGATTTTATTTGCAGTGCAAGTCTAATTTAAAGTCTCCTTACGGTATTTAATGTGTAAAACAGGAATTGAATTTTTATTTTTTCATTAAACTTATACGTTGATAAATTTGTTTAAATTTATTGAGTTATTTATTCAAGAGCTATAGTAACAGTGAACAGGGGTGTGGGTATTAACAGTTATTTCATAACGCATTCATGTTATACATGTTGTATCTGTTTAACTCTGTTCCTGCCACAGGAGGATGTCTGTTCCACGAAGTGCTCTGTACAATTATATCACGATCATGGTCTACTCCAATAAAAGGGCAGATTCTTGAATTTTTTTTTAAATATTTACACAAAGCTGAACCAATGTGTGGCTAAAGCTTCTGTTTTCTCCCCTCCTCTTTCTAAGATGTTTAAATACATAAAGATGTATAAGAAAGTAGTCTTCACAATTTCACCTTTTCCAGTAAGTGACTTTTCTTGAACTTTGTGCAATACAACCTAGGGCAGGGGGCCATGAGAGACAAAACACGGAATGGGGATTTCAGAGGCAGGGTTCTGCCTCACCTAGCCTTGCTCTCAGGAGTTCCGCTTGTCCTGTCTTTCAGCACTAGTGGGAAGTTTGACTCCTTCTTCTTTGTTCCCTCAATCTGCTATAGATACACACTAAGATTCTCCCCCATAACCTTCTTTTCCAGGCTCAGCAGTTCCAGTCCTCCGTCCCTATATTATCACATGAGCTCCACTCCTTTCATCATCTTTGCAGGGACTCTTTCCTGTCCATTCCTCTCAGACAGGGGAGCCCACACCTGGATGTAAGGAGGATTTTTACCTCTCCCTGCTCCAGTAAACTTGCTTAACCCAGCCCCTGATGCTCTGTTGTCTCATGGTGAGCTTGATCCTTCACTGCTGAGGTGCTTCCAGGTGATCAGCCCCAGCCTGTACTGCTGCCTGGGCTTGTTCCCTCCCAGTTGCAGGACTTTATGTTTTTTTGCTCAGCTTCATCAGGGTTCTGTCAGCCCTACTCCACCTTGCTGGGGTCCTTCTGCATGGCAGTGTAGCCATTCCGTGTCATTCCGTGTCATCTCCACATCTGGAAGGTGTTCACAGGTCTAGCTCCACATCATCTACCTTCACTCACTGAGGGGTGCCTCCACCTTGGTGTGCCAGAAGCAGGACGTAATCGAGGTCAGAGAGCAAGCAAACTGCATTTCTCACCTGTCTTTCACCCTGGGGGCAAAAAGAGATTAGTAGCTTACTCTGACAGGTTCCTGTTTTAGGGTTTTCAGTTCTTTTACCAGTTGCTGAATATTACAGGTAATCAGGGTGGGTGAGCACAGGGGGTCCTGCTCTAATTGGGGCTGAGCCGAGCCCAGCAACGAGTTAAAACCCTTCTATGTAGGGAAGGGTGGCAGGGACAAGCACCTCACAAGAGCTAACAAAGTAAACTTTCCTTCGTTACCTTAGAGCCAAAGCAAACACGTCTGGGAGCGCACCGAGCACCTCTCCCTATAAACCCCCCCCCAAACCCCGGGGGGTACAGTGAGGCTCCCCCCTCATGGCCGCCCCCTCCCTCCCTCAGGTAGGGCGGCTCCCTGCTTGCCGTAAAGCGGCGGGGGCGGCCGCAAAGCGCCACCAAACCCCGGCCTTCCTCCCCTTTTCCCCTCCTCCTCCTCCTGGTCCCGGTGCGCGGCCGCACGGCGCCGCCCGCCCGCCCGCCCCCTGTCCCCGGGCCCATGGCGGCGGCGGAGGCGGCGGCGGGAGGCCGCTGGGTCGGGCGGGCAGGGCCGCAGCGCGAGTAGCGGGCGCCTCGCACTATGCTGGCCGCCGCTTGGCTCGGCAGGGGGCTCTGGGGGCTCCTCCGCACCGCGGGGAGGAGGCGACCGGGAGACGGCGGCGGCGGCGGTGGCACCGGTGGTGGAGGTGGAGGCGGAGGGGCCAGGTCTTTAGGGAGCCCGCCCGGGGCTGGGGGGCGGCGCCATGGTGGTGCCGCCGGCGGGTTCTGCCTCATGGGGGGGGGCGGCCTGGGGCAGCCCCCGCGGCTCCTCCGCCACCGCCAGCGGCCGCCGCCGCCGCCTCCTCTCCCCCCGCCGCCCTTCCCCGCCGCTACCGCCGCCCTCTGGAGCCGCCTCGGCCACCTCAGGGCCGGCAGCGGGGGCCCCGCGCCGCAGGAGCCGTGCCGGGAGAGGAGCGCGGCGGGGCGCTGCGCTGAGCTGGTGCGTGGGGGGGGGGGGGAGGTTGGAAGGGGGGCTTCTGTTTGGGGAGCTTCTGGTGGGGGGGGCTTGCTGGCAGGGATATTTGTCAGGGGATCTTCTGTCAGAATGTTTCTGTCAGGGGAGTCTTCTGCTGGGGGGTCGTTCTGTCAGGGAAACCTGTCAAGGAAATCTGTCAGGGGAGATCTTTTTGTCAGGGGAGGTCTTTCTGTCAGGGGGTCTTCTCTCAGGGGGAGTATTTCTGTCAGGGGGTCTTCTGTCAGAGGGGGGTCTTTCTGTCAGGGAAATCTAAAGGTAATCTGTCACGGGAAGTATTTCTGTCAGGGGAATCTTATGTTGGGGAGGGGTCTTTCTGTCAGGGAAATCTATCAGGGGACTCTTCTGGTGGAGGGTCTTTCTGTCAGGGAAACCTGTCAAGGGAGGTCTTTCTGTCAGGGGGGGTTTTCTGTCAGAGGATCTTCTGTCGGGGAGTATTTCTGTCATGGGAATCTTTTCTCGGAGGGGGTATTTCTGACAGGGAAATCTCAAGGAAATCTGTCAGGGAAATCTTCTGTTGGACGGGGTCTCTCTGTCAGGGGATCTTCTGTCAGAGTATTTCTGTCAGGGGAATCGTGTGTTTGGGAGGGATCATTCTGTCAGGGAAATCTTCTGTCAGGGGGATCTTCTGTTGGGGGGTCTTTCTGTCAGGGAAACCTGTCAAGGAAATCTGTCAGGGGGGTCTTTCTGTCATGGGATCTTCTGTCGGAAGGGGTCTTTCTGTCAGGGAAACCAAGGAAATCTGTCAGGGAAATCTTCTGTCAGGGGGAGTATTTCTGTCAGGGGAATCTTATGTTGGGTAGGGGTCATTTTGTCAGGGAAATCTTCTGTCAGGGAGGTCTTTCTGTCAGGGGATCTTCTGTCAGAGTATTTCTGTCAGGGGAATCTTCTGTTGGGGGGGGGGTCTTTCTGTCAGGGAGATCTCAGGGAAATTTGTCAGGGAGGTCTTTCTGTCAGTGGATCTTCTCTCAGGGGGAGTATTTCTGTCAGGGGAATCTTATTTGGGTAGGGTCTTTCTATAAGGGAAATCTGTCACGGGAGGTTTTCTCTCAGTTGTGTCTTCTCTCGTGGTGCCCTATTTGCCAAACCAAAGCCTTGGTTAATGTTTACCACTCAGGTGCTTTGCGCCCTGCCCAAATGGCAGCTCGCTGCCAACATCTGCAGGGCTTCCCTGCCTCAGCCCCCTGCTTACCTTGACTGCTGTCATTACGTGCTAAACGAGAATCTGCCTTCCTGGCCTGAAGTTTCTCCTTTCTTGCTTTGCAGTATGAAAACCCATGGACGATCCCAAACATACTGTCGATGGCGAGGATGGGTCTGGCGCCAGTCTTGGGCTATTTGATCGTTGAAGAAAATTTCAATGTTGCACTCGGTGTCTTCGTTTTGGCTGGCGTAACGGATTTGGTACGTTTGCATTGGTTTGGAGATGCTTTGGGGATAGCCTGGGGTGTGGTGACCCCATCGACGTACATTGGAATTGAGAGAATAGAATAGGAATGAGTAAACTATAGGAACAGGCACATTTTTATGCTCATCATTTTCTAGAAATGCTGTACGTGTCCTTTGTGACACCATGGTGAGCTGCTGTACCTTGGTGCTGGTAGAGCCGTGGGGTTAGCTGGGTGGGTTCCTTCCCATCCCTGTGTGGGCACTGTCCAGCCAGTGCTCATGCACCCAGAGGTCTGTTGAGATGTGCACTTTAAAACATCTTCTTCATTTTTCTTTGAAATAATGGGAACTGAATATCTTTGAAGGCTTCCAGAATCTGGAATGCAACATGGGGGAGGGAAAAAGTGATACAAGTATCAGCTAACAGGTGTCATATCTCATCAAACTTAAACTAGCTGTCCTGTGTCATGGCATTCAGGAAATCTTTCTGTAACAGAAGCACATAAAAGCTGTTGTATTCTTAGCTCTTTAATACAAAAATATTGAATTGTGTTTTTCCTAGTTGGATGGATTTATTGCACGAAATTGGGCTAATCAGAAATCAGCCTTGGGAAGTGCTCTTGATCCTCTGGCAGATAAAATTCTCATCAGCGTGCTCTACGTAAGCCTAACTTGTGCAAATCTTATCCCAGGTGAGAAAATATCATTACTTGCCAAAGCTGTGTTAGGTACAGAAGTTAATCCTATGTGTGATAATATTTCTTCTGTTTCTGGAAGGAAAACTCTGTATTGCTCAAAACTTCAGTTTTGCCAGTTAGTTGTACTTTGTTATTTGCTACTGTTACATACTTGAACAAAAAACACACCTCTGCCCCCCGCCCAGATCTACAAATCAAAAAGCATTGCTGCTGTTTTCAAGTGTAATTTCTTCAAAGCAATGGTAGTCAGCAGGTATATCAAAAGATTTCTCAGGACGGATTGATTTAAGACTTCACATGAAACCCTTTCAGAAGTCACATTAAAAATCTTCAGTCGTACCTAGAAGTTGTTTAGAAGTTGAAGGTGGCTATTTCTTCTTGCTTCATGCGTTGTGCTCTTTTTGTTTCATTTTGTTCTTAGTCGTGGACGTGATTTTTCACTAGATCCTGTTGGCTTGGTTTTTCAGTTTCACTGACTTCCATGATCATTCTGAGGGATGTAGCACTCATCGCTGCTGTTTTTTACGTGCGATACAAAACTCTCTCTCCACCGGTAAGTTTGTAGCGTTAAACAAAACTCTATGAGCATGTAATCATTTTTTACTGTGATTGAATCTTATTTTAACATACTTCATGTGTATATAAAATGAGTAAGCATTAACAAGTTGTAACCAATAGATTTTTCACTCTTGATGGTTGCTCAAAACATGGGTTGATAGCTTAAGAGGTGTATCAAACTGAATCTGCTAGAATTGCCTTTTTTCCTCTTTTCTCTCCTAACAGAGAACACTCAGCAGGTATTTTAATCCCTGTTATGCTACAGCCCAACTAAAACCAACATTCATTAGCAAGGTAAGAGTAATAACTCATTAGAAAAGATAAATTTCTCCGTAGCTGGGGCGAGCTGTAGTTTGGTGGGAGGAAGCTGTTTTCTGCTGCTGCTGAGTGCAGTTTCAATCTAGTGCCAACTAATTTGGAGGCAACTTCAAATGTGTAAGATAGTTTGTTAAAAGAAGTTTTAAAACATTTTTTTCTGGTACTTTTTAAGTAGTAGTATATAGACTTTTACTTAAACAAGTATTAAAAGTGTATATTGGTATTCCTTGGAGAGGGCACTTTGTTTTGATCACATTTCTAATTTTGCTTTTATCAGATGAATACAGCTGTTCAGCTACTTCTGGTGGCAGCGTCTTTAGCAGCTCCTGTTTTCAATTATGTCGACAGCATCTACCTGCAGACATTATGGTAACTCGTCTCTTCATTTTTTCCCCAGATAATTTAACGTACTCCTTACGAAACTGGTAATTGAGGTTAATCTAATTGTGTGGAACAAAAAAACTGTGCCCAAATGATGTCATAGACCCCCTATGGCTGAATTTTTGCACATTTATTCTTAATTGACACGGCAGCTATATATTTATTGGCACTTATTTTGAGACCAGGTAAGATCTAGGAATAACAGCTAAGAAACAAGTCTTGAGAATAGATATGGTGTATATAGGCAAAGTGTACGTTCAGATTAGTATAAAAGAAGGGAGTGAGAAGAAAAGCTGTATGTGTTCTTTGTATGTTCTAGAGAAACAATCTTGATACCAGTAAAAATAGACAGGAGGTATTTTCTTTTGTTTTATGCTCTACCTGCTATCCTGAAATCTTGGTTTCTGCACCCTCTTTAAATAAAGTGCCTGAAAAAGTCAATGATTCCTCCTGGGCTATAGAGAGGAAGGGGAGAAAAGGGGAGAGATCAAATGAAAACAGGCCACCAGGAGTGTACTTCTTTAAATAATGGCCTTTCCCGTCACTGTCATTGCAGACCTGAACAATTAATTGTGGCATTATTTATCCTCAGCTCTTAGGCAAGAGTCTGGAACAAAGAGGCAGAACTGCAGATGGCTGCATTACTTCGTAACTTGGTTTAAAGTAGTGAAAGATCCAGCTTTACTTGCCTTTTTTAAAAAGCAAACAAAACAGAAAAACAGCCTCAAAGCTTTTAAGGAGGTAGGAACCTTTATCTTAACAGTCAAGTGTGTTTTTCATCCCGTTGGAAAGCCGAACCCAAAACTGCCTCTGTGAAAGATGCTTTCCTTGCTATTTCTCTGGGACTCTGAGAGAGTTCCCGTATAGTGAGTAATGAAGAAATGTGAGGTGTAACTTACCAGGATGCTGTAGGAATGCTCCAACAGTGATGTCAGCGAGCCTGGCAGTGGCAGCGAGGGGCAGGACTGTAACAGTGACTCACGCGTGAACGGTGCCAGCCTTTGACAGAGAGGAGCACTGCTCATTTAGAAATACCTAATGCCCGGGAAGGGAAAAAAAGAGGCCGAATACAAAACTTGAGCTTTAGCTTTGGTGCTTGTTGAAATACTAAGTTCAAGTATTTCCTATTATCTGAATGCTCCCCTTTTGTGCAGCCAAGGGATAGTTTCTCACATCAGTCACTTCCCACGCTGGTAAAAATTCTGCAGGCTACAAACTGAAGCAGATGATTGTCTCTTCCCTTCTTTAAAACAAGTGTTAACATTTACTGTCATACTCGGACTCACCTGACTTACAGGAACTCTTTTTCCCAAAGGTGCATCACAGCGTTCACGACGGTAACATCTGCGTACAGCTATTACCACTACGGCCGAAAAACGGTTCAGGTGATAAATAACAAATGAAGTATTGCTGAAAGGACCGTGTCTTGGCACGATGGTTTGCTGTACTGCAGAGGATGGTTGTAATTCAACTGGGCTTTGGATAGAAACCTGTTTTTCTGCTTAAACCATGGTAACACAATGAAGTGAAGTTTGAACATGTACTGTGTATATAAATAGAGAATTTTCAATGTATTTTTAATTTGTTTAAAATTAAGGTTGTTTACAAAATCAAATAAAAAATATTCTTAAAGACACAGGTCACTGGTTGCTGCCATGTGCATTTTGAATAATTTTATACTGGTTTTGAAGTCAGAAGTAGACACTTTTCTCCAGCTGTTTTGCCATCTTCATGCAACGAACTGAACAGATTTGAGAAGAAAAAGCAATTTTAAAGCAAATTTGTACCTCAACCTAAGTCAATAAAGCAGCATTGCTTATTAGGACTTAATGACACATTTCAGCTTGCAGCGGGAGAACGAATGTCATCGAGGAGCAGAATCTCTAGAAATTTAACCCAGAGTGAGAGGAAACATTATCTCATTTTCCATGGTGATACAGACAGGCCATTGAAGGGTTATTACTTCCCCCTGCCCCTTCTCCTCTGCTCATATTTACTTTATTTTTAAATAGGAGCAAATATTCTCACCAGAGGAGTGTTTTGAGTCCAGGAATGGTTAGCTGTGCATTGAAGAGTCTGTAGCCAAATTAGGCACGGAGATACATTCCTCTTACTACAGTACTAATTTCTAGTGATTGGAACAAACGGCATCTCCTGTGTTTCCAGCTCCACTAGAGAAAGTGAGCGTGTTAACAGATCTCCAAATCAACAGAAAAACTGAAAGAAAATAATAGATGCACATCCTGGTGATTTTTCCTGTGCCTCCAGCTTCAAGAGGTATACAGCAATCCCACTCAGATCCAGGCACCTGGTCTGTGTTCTTTGCCAGTTCCGTGCTTTCAGAAAGATACAGAATAAAGAATGGAGCAGAACAGACTGTATCGATCATAATTTATATTTTAGAGCAACACATGATATTTCTTGTATGTCATAAAAGTACAACAATGAAGGGCTTAAATATTTGAAATCAGGTGGTATATGATGCCGCTGTATTAACAGAAGAACAGTTGCTGTAGGCATCTCCTTTGAGAGCATGTAGGCTCTTTTGTGACTGTATATGCCTGTACATACAAAGCATTTTAATATTTTTTATATTAGAACTTGTATAGAGTGGTGCACAGCGAAAACACTTGATTTTTATTAGTACCTCTTTCTGAACTGTCCCCACGTTTTGTGGTTTACCTTGTGTCTTACAACAAAGGGATACAAAGCACATCCTATGGAAGTTTCCTTAAAATACCTGAATATTTAGTAAAAAATGAAGTTTTTTAATTCAAGTACATTTCAAAACGCAGGGGTTTACTGCACTGCAGTGGGTCATTCCTCTGTGGTTGTGGCTTCTGGGGGATGGCTTTTTTTTTTTAATTCATGGATAACTTTGAAACATTGCATTGTCAGGGCGTGGAAAAATAGTGGTGATAATAGCGAATGTTGTAATTACATCAGTGAATGTGTAATAGCGAAGGGATGACAGTGAAGGATCCATGCTGGTGTGCGTCACTGCTTGTGTTGGTAAGTCAAATGTACGATTGCCTGGCAGCGTGTGCCTCAACATTTGTGTTAAATAAAGTTCTTCTAGAGCTGCTGCGTTTCGAGGTACGGATTTGGTTGGTGCTTGCTGTTTCCTATGGGATGGCTGGAGCACCCCATCCCTCACCCAGCCGTGAAGAGGAACAGCACCCACCACTTTCTCCTCCACCGCGTGAGTGCTACCTCGGGCACGGCTCCGTGCCGGCTCCAACCACGACACCCTGACGAAAACACGAGCTCCTCCTCGCCCACAGAGCTCCCTTTCACCCTGCCAGGAAGGCGAGAGCCGCCTCTTCCCACCCCGAGCCCCGGCCGCCAGGCGCCAGCCGAGAGCCGGCAGCGGGGCGGGCCGAGGCGCTGGGGCCGCCCCTCCAACATGGCCGAGCAGCCCCAGTCCCACCAGTCCCACCAGTCCCAGGCACTGGGAGCGGGCTCGGAGGGCTGTAAAGCTCTGGCTGCCCTGCTCAGCGGCATCGCGCAGGCCGCCTACCACGGCAACGCGGCGCTGACGGCCGAGCTGCTCCGCGGGCAGCTCTACCCTGAGGCGGCCCCCGAGGAGTTCGCGGCCCTGCGAGCCAAGATGGGCGGCCTCCTGCAGGTACCCCCGGGGGCTGGGGTCCGGGGGGGTCCCCACGGCTCGGCACGGGGCTGGTCGGGGGGTTCCCGTGAGGAGGAGCGGGAGATTGGGTTTAGTTTTGGGTGTGTAACGCCCGCATCCCACTAGGTAGCAGCCAACTTCTTATACTGTGGGTCTTTTCTTTCTAAGACCTTCCTTGGCATCTTAAATAAAGCTCCGGCATCTGCTTTGTCCTCTACCAGTGCATACTGTTACCTTATGGTCTTTCTTTTACTAAAGATCATTCATCTCTCCTTAACAACCCTATATGTTAACTTACAGCTCTCTAAGAAATACTTGGAATTACCTTGGATCATTTTGTATGGCAGGAAGATGTCCAAAAAAAAATAGAAGATACTGGCTTTATTTGTCTCTATATTTTTATTTCTCTCTATATTTTTATTTCTCACAAGGTCAAAAGCATGTATTCTACTCAAAAGATAAATGACTGTAAAACATCTTTCTGTTGTTTCTCCATCACTAACTCTGTATCAGGGGGTGGTATCTTAGCACTAACAGGCGTGTTAGCACAGCAGGTGCTGCCCTAATTCCTGACCACAGGGCAGCAGTCATCATCTCCAGCTTAATCTTTCATAATTACACCATGCTCACAGCACCGTTAGCAGCAGCATCCCCTTGTTTGTCCGTAAGGTAAGGAGCCGTGTACGTGAAACGTACCGCTTTGATTTGTCATTTCTTTATTGTTGTTCACACCTGAAGACATCTGCCTTGGTAGCCACAGCAGTCAGATCTGCCCGGTATCTTGCAAGATGCACTATGCTAATTAGCAGTGTGTTGTTGCCAAAATCCACCCCAAACCATTCTATGATTCAAAAGGTGGGTGTTCTTGCCCCCTTTTTGCACATATCTATTGCCGCTTCCTTCTGACAACTGCAGTGCTTTCTAGACCACTCTGTAACCTGACAGTTTCCTGATGGGTTGTTGAATAACTCAAGAGGAGGAAGAGAAACAGAAAGACTGTAGCTCCTGAGTGTAAATTGTCTCATGAAAAGATCGGTTGAGTGTCAGAGTGAATGAAGGAGGCAGCTTGGACTGCATAGCCAGGAGTAGCGAGTGAAGGGGAGTAGGGCGTGAGGTGATTTCTTTCATCAGTTCACTGAAGAAAAACAAAATCAATGTCAGTTTGTACAGTGGGCAGCAAACTAGAGTTCCTCAGACCCACTGTCTGTGCTCTGTTCCCTCTTAGGGGGTGATGGTGACTGGCATTACTAATGCCTCATGAGTGTCATGTCCTGATGCCTTGGCTCAAAGCCAGGATGTTTCGAGTCCTACTCGGCAGCCACAGGACCAGTGGGAGACAAAACAAAAAGCCATGGACTGAACTTTCTGCTCTACCATATTCTTTAAAAAAATAGATACTTTGTGCGTTTGTTTTTTTTTTTTTTACTGTGTATTTTGGCTAATATTTCAACCTTCTGCTCTAGATTCTGTAGATCAGAATTTCTGGTTCACTCTTATGCTTTATTTTTGAAATTGGTTTCCTCTAAGTCTGCATAAGTCAGATTTTACTGCGTTATTCTCTGTCCTCTGTTCTGGTGGCTATTTTCAGATGTGACTCTTCTTATTTTTGACCCACCTGGTTTTCATAGATCGTTTGGTGTTTTCTTGAGGTGCTTTTGACTACCTGTGACAGACAACCAGCAAATACAAGTAGTATTTTTTCTACTCATTTCAATGCAGTTCTATAATGTAGTAACTTCAGATAAATGCTAACGCTATAGGAATGTTCTCCAAACTCTATGCATGCACTGTTTTTACAAAAACATGTAGCGCCTTAGCCATGACTGAAGCGTGACAGCTGCTCAGCCAAAATGATGTATTTGAGGCCAGAAGAAAAGCCAGTGCCACATCCAGAGGAAATAGCTAAAGAATTTTAGCAAACAGAGTTGATATATTTGGAATTCGATGAGGATACTAGCACTTACTTTCTGCTTTTACGTAGAGTCCGTAGTTTCTTTAATGATCAATTCAGCTGATACCCTGAAAATGCTGAAATGAATATTGCTACCTGAATCTGAAACTCTGATTCTTGCAGGACTTAAGACTTTCTGGTTGTGTCTGTGGGTGTTCTTATTTTCCCTTTCAAAGCCAGGTCTTATTCAAGCACAGTTGAGTTGTTCTTTACAACTTGTTAATTCAGGCCCCAGAAAACATAATTCAAAAAACTGTGAGATGTTTATTCATTGTTGTAACACCAGCATACAGGTCAGGAGCATGGCAATCTGCTGGGGGAAGGATTTCATGTTCCCCAGGTGCTGCTTTAAGAACCAGAACTGGTAACACCTGTGGTCTTTGAGGTCACACCTTCCAATTCAAGGTAGCATCTTGCTGTTACCAGGTGTGTGTCTGCTGGCCTTTATGCCCAGAACTCTGCTCATCTCCTTACGGGTGAAATTCCTGGGAAACAGTCAAATTTTGTACAGATTGGTGCACTTCAAAGTTGAAGCTTTAAGCTAAGCAATAAGCAGTGCTTTGTTCAGGCACAACTTCAGGATGAGTATGCATGGATTTTGGTGTCGTTATATCTAGTGGGGCACTTAAAGGAAGTAACACCAAAGTCCTGTGGATACTTCAGGATGCTGAGCCACAGAGATCCTGAAAAAATCCCTTGGCTTTTAGGTTGTTTAGAGGGCCGTATCTCTCATGCTTCTGTCAGTGTGGGGAGGTAGAAGTTATGCTTTGGAAGTACCAAGGCTTAAGCTTTTGTCTGCCCGTTGTCCTAGGTATTATTGGTGATGCTTCCTTTTCAGCTCTCAGAGCTAGCTTACAAATCTCTGCCTGTGGCGTAGACTGTCTCATCTGAAGCCATCACACAGAATAAATACAGCGTGAGACGTTTCCTGTTGTTTGAACAACGTGGCAGGGGGAGACTTGAGGGTCAAGTTGCCTTGGCAATACAAGTTGCTGAACTAAATCTTCACCAGCCGAGAACCACAAAACCCGTACTTGCATTCTTCAGGGAATTGCCTGGAATACTTTTAGTGTCTCTATGAATTTAAGTGTGTGTGTCGTGTCAGCTTCTCAAATTGTGTAGACTTGAGAAGTGTTCCTAGATGTGTAACATCTTACTCTTTGGACACACGTCTTGAATGCTAGAGTCTCCCCAGTACCTGGAGGAGCAAGCTCTGCCTGAAGATGTGTTGTCCCTTCCTTGTCAATGGCTGAGTAAATCTATTTCAATCCTTGTATCTAACTTATTGTGAAAAACGTGCGTGATTAAAGTATTAACACCAATACTTGTGTTTTTTCCTTTTTTTTTTTTTTTTTTAATATATATCTTTTCTTTCTTTGGATAAGGCAGGGGGGAACAAACAGCAGAACAGGAGCAGAGAGAACTTGCTCGTGCAGCCAATTCCCATGTGTAGCAGTGATCTGCACCTGAAATTTAGAACAAGACGTAACTTTTTGTGTCTCCATTGATAATAACACCTAATCACACCAAATACATTGTGCTGGGCAGTAGCCGTGCTGTTTGTTTTCAGATATCTTGTTTAAGAGCCCAGGTTCTTATGTGGTCAATATGGGAAAGATAAGATGTTTTATTGTCTTCTGTTGTCTCTGTAGGGATTGTAAGCACCTAATCTGGATGGGATAAACAGTACCTCATTCCCCTTGCTTGTTTTTTTCCTGACGTATACTCATGCTGTCAGTTCATTGTTAGAAGCAGAGAGATTCATTGGCCTTGTGACTATTTAACTGCTGTAGTACTTTGTGTCCTCTAAGTAGTAATCATAAATCAGTACTCTGAATCAGTCCATGCATAAATCAGCCACTTATTTATATAAGCTCTAACAGAAATAAAGTGAAGGACTTCACTGTGCCCTCCTGCGTTCCGTGTATACAAAGCACGGTAACTTCTCAAGCACCTGAAAAGCAGGGCACCTGTGAAATGTGTGCAAATGAATAGAGTCCACAAAAGTGTATCCCATGTACTGCAGCAATAGGACTTATTTTTTCCTGGTCTTTGTGTAGTCTTGTGTTTTATTTTATTATACTTTTGCTTTATTTTATTTATAAAATTTGTCTTGACAGTCCACTTCTTCTGGCTGTTTCATTTTCTCCCTGTATATTTGTGTGTGTTTTTCTGCAGAATGTGCTTGAATAATCTGGCCTCTTTCTAAGGTCCCAGACTTATTTTATAGAGAAACGACGTTTCCTTATTAAATTTATCTCTAGTGACCTTTACTTTTTTTTTTTTTTTTTTTTTTTTTTTTTTTTTTTTACATCTCATTTCTTGTGGAATTTCCTAGAAAGTAGAACAAAGCTCCGGGAAGGTTGGCCTTGGAGAACTGCATCATGTCAATGTTTTGTCAATTACTTTCCACTTTCTGCTTGCATATTTCCCAGCCCCAATCCCATACATTTACAAAGCCTGGAGGAACAAGGGGGAGATCTGCTCCTGCAAATTCTCACCCCAAGCATTTTTGGTTTTCAAAGACTTCTTCATCCTGATCAAAATACTAACTTTGTCTCCTCCTCATGTAAATTTATTTGCTGAGTTAGTTCCTGTGGTTAAAAAATAAATAAATAAATAAATAAAAAGTACTTTACATCTAGAGTAATTCCACTTTTTTCCTTTTGGTGGCGACAGGCTCTTGAATTTACCGAATGTGCTGGAAGCATCCCGTCTCACTTCTGCTTCAGAACAAGCTGTACGTTGGCTAAATGACAACGAAAATTCATCACGCGGCGTATAAATATTATATTTGATTTATTTTTTGCAAATAGTGAGGGTGTTACCATCTGTAATGAATACAGCAGTATGTCACTGGTAAAATATTAATCAGGATGTACATAAGTACTGTGGGAGAACTGAGCATTTGATACCCAGCACGGGAAATGCACCCAAAACATCACACAGGACAGCATTTCTTAGCCATCTTCCTATCATTTCCACTAGAAATCACACTGCTATTCCTACCAGCTGTTCTATCAACAGTGGTATTTTATTTCCCTGCTGTTTAAGCCAGGAAGCTGATGGTACTGTTGTCGTTTGGCCCTGCTTGCCTTCACAGCTTCTTTAATTCCCATCCTGAAGCCTGTGAGATGCCCCGTTGCTGCTGGTGGCTATCAGTCATTGTGCCTTTGGAGGCTGTCTGTCAGGGAAGAAACCTTTTGATCAAAATCCGATCTAAAGACTTAGGGGGGAAAACCTCAGTGCCACCAGCAGATGAAATTGCTCAGAGCACAAAACTCTGGGGACGAGCACCGGGGAGCTGCGGGTGCTTCAAGGGCTGGTTGCTGCCTTTGGTGCGCCGTGTCCCTAAAGGCTGTCACCCACCTGTGGTCCTGTCCTGGCCAAGCTGCTGTTGTCACCTGGAGAAGGGGTCCCAAAGTGTTACTGCTGCTGCTTGGGAGGGAAGAGACGATAGATCTTGGTGAAAGGGGTCTGCCTTGATGGGAGAAGTCCGAGCAGAAAGCTGGTCGTGGAGTTTATCCGCTGAGGAGGACGGAGGCCTTCGTGTCTCCTTCAGGGGACGGTAGAGGCCTTTTCTTCAGGGTTTCTGCTGACACCATTGGTGGGGGAAAACCCAAACTTCTTGCGTTTTCTGGCCTGGCAAGAGAGCTGCTGTTCTTCCTTCTCTCAGCTACCTTGTGATTCTTCACATGTGTGGGTTTGTCCTGGGCTCCTTATTGAACGCTTCATGATTGCCTTGGAAGCCCAAGCTTCTCAGAGGCAGAGCGGCCTCGATCCCAAGGCTGAGGTGAAATCCTTTGGGAAGAGTTACCAGGAAAGATTACTTGCTCTCTGATGCCTGGAGTTATTCCCGTGTCTATTCACTGAAAATGAGTGCCAGTTAGATAGGTTCATTCTTCTCAATATGGGTAAAAGTCAACAAGTTAGCCTGTAAGAGGCTATCAGCAAGTACTGTGTCCATATCAGATGCTTTCTGCCCAAATCTGCATCCTACATGGTGTGAAACCTCTCATTCCCACCAATGTGCTAATTTTGAGTAATTTTATTGGGCTAGGCAGAGATGTGCTAACAATAACTCTGTGCAGGGTTTTATGCGGGAGGGTGGGCATGTCTGCTGGGTTAAAATGGGACGTGCACGAGAAAAATGATCATTATCCAAATTGATGTTTGCCTGGGACAGCTGAGCAACAACCCCAGTTGTTTTTTAATCCAGTGAAACACAGCTATTGCATATCCCAGCCGCCACCTCTGCGGGGTCTGGTGTCAGGGCGTGCATTTTCTGTTCCTTTACATGCCTACAGTTATTGTTCCCTTTTTTTTGGTCTTATTTCAACATCATCTTAGGAGGGTAGAAAATTGCGTGTTCACTTGAAATACCATCTGCTATACTGTAGTGATAAAAACGTTCATGGTAAAAGTGCTTCCATGCTTAATTATTTTAGATCTCTGTACGTGTATATGAGGTCAGTTCGAGTAGGGGCTGGTGGGGCTGGCAGCTCTGGAATAACACTCACCAGAGGGGAAAAGTTCTTCAAGAGAATGGGCTGGAGAGGAGGCTGCAGGATGCTACATGGCTGAAGGACATTTCAAGTAGCCGTAGGTTTCGTGCTTCACTGCCTCGAGCAGCGGTTTATTGCTTGTATGTTAATAAGAACAATACGCTTTCATCACTCTGCATTTCTTTATTATTTATTCTTTTTTCAGTTTCTCCAGTTGCAGAGCTCAGTGTTTGTATGAAGTTCAAGCCTTTCGTATTCTGTTTTCGTTACTATTTTAATTGCTGAAGAGGTGTTCAGGAGGCAGTGTTTTTGCTGGGAGCTACGGGATATGAAGGTGAGGGATTCTTGCAGCGCGAGCAGTTTCCTACCAATTGGGCTGTCCTTTGAACAACGTGGCCTGAGCGAGGATTCTCATCTGCACCTGCAAACTGCAAACATTTTAGCACTCCTGCTGCTGGGCATTAACGAGCACACCTCCTGAAGGCAGGCAGAAACAGAAGGGCTCTAATACAGTTTATTTAATCAGGAGTATTTTCTCTAACTCAGGTGTGAGACAGAGATGAAAGATCACTTCCTAATGAGAGCGGTCCTAGACTCATTTCATTTGAGGCTGTAAAGTGCCAACATACTGCAGCCGTGCCATTTAATTAAAAAGGGCTTACTTTACGTTTAATGGTTTACTTGACCTTTTGCATCGCATCGTTTATTTATCTCCTTATCTATAGACAAGTGGTAAATTAAAAGAAGTAGGCAAACTTGCGTCATTGATGTGGTAAGCTCTGTATTGCTCAAATTAGAAGCAAGCCTCTCTCGGTTTTTCCTCAGTTCTGGTGTGGGTACTTTCTGATTTTATCTCTAGAGATCCACGTGCTCAGTCCCAGCTGTGGAGGTGGTGGCCGCAGTCTCATGTTTAGAGCAGACAGGTAGGTGCCAGCTCTTGATGCTTATGATGACGGTGCGTTATGTTTTAGCTTCATAATGCCCTGCTGAAAATCTGGTGACTCTGCTAATTGGCTTCCAGAGCAGCATACTGGTGAGAAAGCTGGGTTCTCTGGTGGTTAGCATGTTTTGTGTCCCATTCATTTCCCTTTTCCCATCCAAATACATAGTTTTTGTCATATCTGTAGGATTTTTGCAAGTAAGTAGTAGTTTCGTCATCAATAACAGTTTTCCTTCAAAAAAACAAAACACAAAACAAACAAAAAAAAGCCCCACAGGTGAGTTTATCATGGTAATATGTACATGTGTGCACTTGCTTGGGCCCATACACATGCACAGGGAATAAAGTATTTTGGTTGTGCTGGAATTCAGGAGTCCCATCTGGTTGCTGCAGTCTTTCCATTGACCTTCAGAAGAGTCTAGTCTGACTGAAGACTGTGGAGTTAGCTCTTGATTTTTCAAGTTCATTGCTACAAATTAAATGCTTCCACTATTCTTAATTAGTATTTGTCCAACACGTGCCTTATGGAGTATATGTGAAAAGGGGAAAAGACCCCCTTAGGCTTCAGGTGTGGTTTCGTGCCTTTATTTCAGTAACACTCATTCTCCATTTCCTGTTCCCTTGGTGAAATGCTGAAGAGGATGATGAAGTCACTGCCACCTTCTGCCTCAGTTCTGGTGGTTTCCTGGACTAGTATTAATTGTCTTTCTGCTTTAAATGTGGCTTATGAAGAGGTGGGAACTTGAGTTGTCTCTAGTTTTCCTTCTGTTTGATGCCTGAAGAACTAAAAGGAAAAGCGAAGGCTGTGCTTATATGGGAGTCTTGCCTGCTCTGTTTTCTATGAGAGACTGAGAAACTAGAAGACCATCTAGAGCAAGCTAGTGATTTGGTTGTTTTTGTCATTTACGTTAATTTCACCTTGGACAGAGTGATCACAACTCCTCTTAGGAGCATTACTTACTTGCATCCTGACTTTGAAGCTTCAGGAACTGCTGGCTTCTTACCTGGAGCCTAAAGCTTAGCTGCAGGTGGGGAGCAAGCACCAGCGTCCTCCCCATCAGCAGTGGGATCAAGAGAGGAAAGATGCTTTCTGCCGAGAGCATTGGGTATGATGTGTAGCTCACAAAGTCCACAGGCTGTGGATATGTGGAAGCTGGGAGTGCTTACCAGGGAAATTGTCCTTGCTTATCATTTCCTTACACTCCTTCCGAGGTGCCCAGTGTCAGAAAGGATCCTGGGTTTGATGGAGGTTTGGGCCGACACAATTCAACTGTTCAAATTTTCTCTTTTTAGTCCAGTTTTAACCTTTCTTTCCACTTTAAGTACAATATGTTTCTAGTAATAAACACTTTTTTTTAATCAGAACTGCACTGAAATTGTATTTTTTTGTGATCAGATAGTTTTAAAATTGGGCTTGTTACTGCTGTTGTGAAGGAGAATAAATATTTTCTTGCTCCAGGAGTGCCCTAAAGTTGGCAGTGGAGGAAAAATTCTTCTTCCAACCTTGCCAGTGTCAAGATGCAGCACAGCTGAGCAGAAAAGACTTTTTTTCATATATACATACTTTTAAACCGTGAGTAATGATCGATCTTACTAAAGAAAGAGACTATTTGATCTTGGAGTGACCATCATCTCTGCTAACATATGCACATCCGTGTTTCACAGAAAGTTCAGAACAAGCAGAGAGCAGCAGAAAGAGCTGTTCCTGCCTTGGATAGCCAGCACCATGCTGTGGCATTGACTTGAGCCACTGAAGTTCACAGTATTACAAAGAAATTCAGGCGACACTTACATCATCTCTTTACTTGCTAAGCAGCTGAAGTTTTCCATTCCTGGTAATGTGTAGTCACCATGGTATGGGTGTGATGTGTAAGAGTTTTTCTACTCTGTTAAGTGCAGTACCCAGTTGCTTAGATCAACTTAAAAAATAAAAAAATCTTTCAATATCAGAAACCCAAATCATGGTGAAAGTTCTATGGGACTTGCTGGAATTACTCCATTTTACAACTTGTATTTGGAGGTTTTTTTCCAGTGTGGTGGAGCCTTGAACTCTTCAGTGTGCTCAGGGGATGTTGATGTTTGCAATAGTTTATTTAAAAATATATAATACCAGGAACCATGATTGTTATGTGATGTCTTTTGTTTATTTACATTTTAGCCACTGAGCCCCATGGGGCAGAAGTTGCCAGGTGAGACCCTCCAAGGACTTGAGCTCCAGCCTGAGCAACCTGCCCGGCTCCCTGGGGGCTCTCCTCGGGTAGAAGGATTGCTTACAGCTTACTGAGAAGGCTCTCAAACTCATCCCAATTCATCCCTAGAGGTGCTCTGTCTTAAGGGCAAGATGAAGGGAGTGACATCCTTAAAGGAAAAACCTTTAATATTCTGCTTTTTTTTTTAGTTTTGTATTTGTCATTATGGATAATGATGGATACTTCTATGCAGTAACTTCTAAAATGCATTTAATAAATACGTGGACTAAGCCCGATCTGTCTGGAAGTTGCAAGACCTCTGTGGCACAGGATTAGGAGTAATCATTATTGGGAAAACCAAGCTGGTTTCGCGTTCTGAGGCACTTTAGTTACGCATTCAGAACACCTGAAGGTTAAGGACAGCAGGCTTTCTATCACGTTGTTTGATTCCCAGTAGTTACGTACAAGGAAAGCAAATCATCTTACACATTTAGCCAGCCAATGATTTCAAACCGGACCCTTTGCACCAAGTGAGATTTGCCCTTCGCTTTGTTTGCAGTGCACCAGCACCTGCGTAGAGCTGACGGCCCAAGATTTGATTAGGAGTACTCGATCTCTTAGAAAATTGGGTACTTCTGCAGCTGTACAGCAAATCTGTTCCTCCCTCCTCCTCAGCTCCCCGTGGAGTTCAGTGTCTGTTTACCAGCTCTGCTTCAGGACAGCGTGTTTCGCTTGGAAAGGTGACAGTGATCTCAGAACGTGTTTTTTTCCTCCTTCTCCTTCTTTGGCATCTTCCACATTTACCTGTTAACAACGCTGTTTGATGTGTGACTCCACGTAAAGAAAAACAGACTGCAGCTAAATCTTGGTGAAAGGAATCATAAAATACACTGCGTAGAGCAAATGTGAAATTATACCCAGCCTGGCCAAACACTTTTTTTTTTTTTTTTAGACTTAAAATTGGGGTTTCTTTTTCATTGGTTTAAGAAACATTTCTGTAATTCTCTCATTTGGCATGGTAATATATTCTGGAAAGATTGTTTTTTTTTCTTTCTCTTCTAACAGTGAAAATTGCAATACAAATATAGTTTGAGTGAAATTCCCTATTTTTCCAAGTAAGGTGAGATTTTTTTCATGTTGAGATGTGTCTGGATCTCTGCCAAGTGATTCCTACCTCATCCCGGTGGGTAGTCTTTTCTTTTCCTGCTCTGCAGTTCCCTAAAAACCATCATGTCAGGATGGAGAAACGTGTTCTTAGGATGCACGCAGGCCCTGAAGCAGAATTATGGTAAGAGGCAGGAGAGCAGCAGACACTTTTTTGCTGTCTGACGTTTCCATGTGACTTGGTTGACTCAAGGCTGTCGTGTCTGATGCGTGATTCATTCATGCTCCTTTTGCCAGTTCTGGTTGGAGTGTAATTGATCAGCTGTTCTACCAGGCTGCTTATATAAATACCCTTTGGTTTTACATTATTGAAGATGGTACAAATATTTACAAATTTGTAGCGGTTAGGATTTCTTCGGTATTTTTTATTAAACCTTTTTTAAGCATACAAAACATGTACGACCCACTTTTTCTACAGAAGAAGAAACAGGACATTTAGGACAATCCCCTCCCTTGCCCAACCCAAGATGTAGTTGGCTTTCTGGGCTGCAAGCCCACGTTGCCGGCTCACGTTGAGCTCTTTGCCCACCAGAACATCCAATGGAGGTTATAAAGCTGCAGCTCTGATTCTTGTTGGGGACTTGCTCAAGTTTTTGAGTTTTGGGTTTCTGTGATGTGCGAGCCCATAATCCTTGGGCTTTGAGGTTAGACCCTGTTGTTTGAGATCTCCCCCCCGTCTTTTGCACCACCTGCTTTGGCATCTGCACCCCAGCATTTGCAGTGCATGTCCGTGGTTTGCTCTCCACGAGGGGTTGTTACACTGCCTCTCAACTCTCTTGAGATCTGTAGGGAGCCAAAAGGCACGTGCAGCTGGTGCAGAAAGGCTCTTCCCCCATCAGTCACTGGATGTGCCTGCTGGCTCCTGACAAGCGACCACATGCGTGCCTCTGTTTGTGACCCTGGCATCGAGTCTCCTGCGTGACCAAAGGATAGCGAGGGATCTGGCTGCAGCTAGGAGGGCGGTGGTTGCTCATTGCTCATTATTCGTTTCATTTCATTGCGCATCATTTAAATCTTTTATCAGTCTTGTAATGGGAAGCGAGTGCTAGAGAAATTGTCTAGCCCATGTGGTCAAACGGCAAGGGGCTTATCAAAGATTTTGGTCAAATGGGGCTAGAAAAGCCATGGGAAAAGTGAACTGATGCTTTTTGATGACAGAGACGGCGCTGCCTTGGGGCGTTTTAGGGCTGAAGTTTTTGCTGTTGAGGCCTGTGATGGTGAAGCCTAAAGCTGGATTTCGTTACGCACCAAGTTTTGACAGGCTGTGTGTCTGCGAGCTTAGTAAACTGCAGCCGTGCGTGTCCAGCTCGTGAGAGCAACGCAAGCGGGCTGTGGAGGCAAAGAAGAGGAGAGTTGTTCCTACAGATTTGCTGGAAAACCTGATTACTTGGCTTGCTTTGCTGATAGACGACTTGATCCTAATGTGATTGAAGTGGAGAACTCCCTCTGGGGTAATTACAGTCATAAAGATTTAATGCGATTCCACTGGAAAACGCTTTAAGATGAGTATTTAGTCTTGAACTTTTTTTTTCTTTTTTTCCAAAACATTTATGAGATTTAGTTCTAAGAGCATTTTTGTTACAGCAAATGGTATTTAAATCTTTATGGGAAAGCAAGGAAAGGTTTCTGCTGAGCATCCCAGCCTGGGTGTTGCTCCCAGGCTCCGGTGGTGTTTTCCAGCACCACAGTGGGAGTGGGACCCGTACAGAAAAGTTCTTACAATGCACAGGTTGACCTGCTGCCCCCTTGCCCTCATAAAGGTTCAGCTGTTAACTACTACAAAGGCTGCTCCTGGTTTTGGGGAACGTGTTCTGCATTTCACTGAGCTGACAGGAGGAACGAGCGTGTTGTACGTGCCAAGAGGAAGACCGGCCGCCTGCTCTCCGGGGACTGGAAGCTCACCTCTCACCTGTCGGGCCTGTCAGCACGTAACACGAGGTGTCAAAATACCTGAGGAGTGACCAGATGGCAAAGCACTCTTGCCTGCTTCCCTGGAAACTGTGCAGTCTGTGAACTCGTCTCCTCTACGCGCTCGTCACTTTGCTGCTATGAAATGTGTCTGCTGGGTTAGGAGCTAAGGCAGGGACAGGCTTTCCAGCTGTTCGTTCCCAGACCCTAATTTTACTTACGAGAACACTGCCTGCAAAGTACTGCGATAAGCTCTGCTAATGCCTGCCCCATTACTGCGTGCAGGGCAAGGCTTCGGCTTTTTTTTTCCGTTTGCCCTCAAAATACGAGCTGATCCAACTTCTATTTTTAACCCTCCTAAGTGAAATGAGATTAAACATGAAGCAATAGTCCACAACAGCAAGTAATTTTCCCAGAATGATTGTAGAAACCTGATAAACACATTTCTCATTTATTTTAAGAGGAAGAAGGAGGAGAAAAAATGCCCATCACGTGATGTCTTCAGAGAAGGACAGGTCATGCCACCAATTCTGGGACTGTCTCTCTCTCTGTCCGTCTGTCTATTTTCCATCTTTTGCTCTTGCCCATGAATTTCTTTGTATTTACCATCCGGTATTTATTCTGCCCTGTCTGGGTTTCTCTTTTATTTTCCTCTCTTCCTTTAGCAATACTGCATCGAATGGCTTCCATTTGTTGAACGTTCTTGTTTATGAATATTGCTCTTTTAGGAGGACTGAAGAAGAAACTGTTTTGGGCTGAATAATGTAACCTGCAGAGGTTTATACATTCTTACAGAAGGCAACATGGCCTTGCTGAAGCATAGCTCAGGGAGCACATGTGTATGCATATTTGTTTGAAAAAGGCTGAACCTGTCAAACTTGTCCATAGCATGGCTAGTTTGTGTTGAAGAACTACTGGAAATGTGACATTTCTCTGCCTCCGCCCCATGTGGCAAAATGCTTTCTAAACCATAGCAAAGAATTTGACTCAAGTTGGGAGAAAAATGGTAGCAAAGTTCATTTAAAAATCCTTTATTATTATTATTTTTTGCTTACTGTAATTCAATTGAATAAAGGCCAAGATGGACAGTTGATTCATATTCTTTATCGTCCTTTACGACCCTAGTAGATGTGTATCTGCTATTAGTAGAACATTTCCTTATTTTTTTCAGTTCCCTGTTACCTCTCTCCAGCCCATCCAGTGCTTGTCTGCTCTCTGAGAAGTGATTTCCGTTGCCTTTTTTTTCTCTTATACATTTCTTCCTCTTTCTATTTTAAATAATGCAAGTAATTTGGAAACTATTACTCAGGAAGGGGGTGGTGCTTCTTCTTTATGCTTATTGCTTAAAATCCAAGCTTTTATAATCCGTTCATAATCTGAGTATGCAGGCATTATTTAGAGATCTAGATAAGACTAATGTTATTAGTGGATGAGCTTGTTTTGTTGTATTTTTTCATTTTTATTCTTGTTCTGTAAGCACAGGCAGAATCTTTAAGTAGGCACAGACCGAGCAATCCCTCTGATTCTCAGTTTCCCTTCCGCCAGAGATGGTTTTTAGGTTGGGGTGAGATTCTGTTTTGAGCCCAGCGCTGTAGGTTTGCAGAAAGTCCTCTGTGACCACAGGAGGATGGCTCAGGTTGCGCTTCGTGTGGTGACTGCCTGTTTTAATCAACATTTCATCCTCCTTTTGTCATCAAACGAGCCTTCATGCCACAAAAAAAAAAAGAAAAAAAAAAAAAAGACACCTCCTGCAAATAAGTTTAGGAAGTGGTGTGTTAGGGAGTTCAGAGTCCGAACTGTCACTTCTAGCAGATGTACAGACTAATGGTAGGGACAGGCTGGAGAAAAAATGTTGTGGTAACTTCAGAAGGTTTTAAAAACTGAGATCTCTTTGGCATTTAGCTGTAAGTGAGGCCAAAAATAGCTGTGTATATGCTATCCAATTGTTACTGAGTTTCGTGTTCAAATGAGAAAGGAATTTTACCAGAGAACGTTGGGGTTTGTGAATTTATACGCAAAAAATAAGATATTGGGTTTGGGGGTTTCTGCTTGGTGGGAACCTTGGAGAAGAAACTGCATGCAAACGGTCCATTCAGAACAGTTTTATCTTCCCATGTGCACATTTGATAAGTCTGTGTGAAATAAGCTAAATAAGATTAGAAGTGCAGGAAGGATGTTCTTTGCCTGACACTTCATCGCAAGCACGTGCTTGTTTTCCCCATCT